TGTCAGAACTGGATACCTTTTGTACTGCATCACCAGACATGGTCTCTGCAATTCCAACTTACCTTATAGGAATCTGGGGTCCTAGTTGTCCAATTACATTGCCCAGGGCCACCCAGCACATTGGCGGTAGTGATGGGACTTACACCCATGTTACCAAGTCTCATTTCAGAGTCCTTTTGCATTACTGGAATCCACCCAGGAAATAGGTCCTACTAAGGACCGCTCAGTTCCCTACCCTCGCTTAATAGTCACTAACGGATTATAAACATCATTTCTTCCAAATGAAACCGGGTAAGTTATTTGTTTGCAGTAAACTGGGTCTTTTTCCATTAAGGTAAATAAATTATAATTATATATTCAAATAGTAACTGTCCTATCTCTGATTTGGCTTGTATTCCAATTTTTATTAAGTTGTTTGAAATTTACTATTGGCTATTGTTGTTATGTTGCAATAAATAAGTTAGTACATACAGTAATACTTCAAAAGGCCAAATTATAATGTGTCTCTTATGTAGATAAATTGGTGGAGAGAGATTTAAGGACTATAAATTAAGCTTAAGTCCCTGTTGCCATTGTACTGGTGGAATAGCTTGATGGAATCCTTTTGATATTACACCGTTTTATAATAAAACAATGACAGTATAAATATATTTAAACTATTATAAATTCAGACATTCAATATTGAGCTATAAACAATATTCAATATTGTTTGTAACAACTATTACTATTTTTATGAAAACAAAATCCGGGTCTATAATATATTCAAATTTTAAGACCATCACAAGCATATAATCCAAGAAAGGAAAATAAAATTATAACAGTTGTATTCATAAGATATTTTAATCACCAGATAAGAAAAATCTAGTCCTCATGATGCTATTTTAATTCTCAGCCGGCATCCAAATTGAAGGTTAGTGAAGAAACAGATCAATCTGTAGAAAGATTTGAGAATGCAAAAGATCCTATGAAAAACAACGAAAAAAATAATAATCACTCCAGTATATTTGGGGGTTGATAGTGAAATTTAGCCCTGGGTATTTCTATACTTCATCAAACTACCTTGGTACTTCAGATCACTCTCAGGGTGATCTGAGAGTGATTCTGTGATGACCTGAATTATGTTATGTCCATGTGTCCTGGGTACATTTCATCTTTTCTGTGGAAAAATCAACTAGTCTGTCATTAACTTATTTCAGTCCCAAATGTTGGGGATTCAACCCTAGGTCTACTATTTCATAGTTCTTTTACAGGAAATAAAGCATCTGTTTAGAATCAGAAGAAATCACCTGTATTGCTTTGGAAGAAGTATAGTGACTATCAGAGAAACTGTGTGTGTTCGTTATTTTTTAATCTTTTATAGTTTGTGGAAAGAGGACTGCCCCCTCTTTCACACACAGTATGTTGTTATTTATTCGTTATTTGTGTACTTGAAGAGGATGTTAAAGTTCTGAGATCGAGATACCCTGTGGTTACAAAGGAAGGATTTGTTTACCATTTCATTTAAAGTGTTCTAATAAGCTTTATAATATAAGAAACACTTGGGGCCTGATAGAGTTCTTCCAAGGACAGTTTTTGTGACTGGTGTGCAAGTGTCACGTTCTAATTTCTGTAACTCTTACTTGTCATTGTCTATGAGTGATACACTAGCATCCCAGCATATCATATTTCTTACCTCTGTGTTTATGGAACGTGTTTATGGAATAGTAATGCCATCAGGGACTGCAAAGAAGGAGAATGGGCAATGCTCCTTCTCTCCCAGCTGCTTCACTCTGGTGGGAAATAAGAGATTGGTGCTGCTCACTTTGACCTGGGTGAGGGATAGCTTCATGGACATGCAGACGCTTCACTTAGCCCCGACTCTGCACTTAGCCCCACCCTCTGAACAATGCTGTTGTGTGCTTAAAGTTCTACTATCACCATTTTGAAAATCTTAGTAATTTATGCACAAAAGACTCTGAGTTTCCATTTCCCACTGCGCACTTCAGCTTATTTGTTGGTCCTGTTAGAAACTTCTGGCTCTTCTTGGCTATGTGGATCTGCCCTTAGCCTTCAATCGTTCTCTGTCAACATGTGCAATCTGCCTTTAAATCAAAGAAGTAAGCAAATAATAACCTTTTAAAACTAAATGTTTTAAAAATTAACTTTAAAGAACTGCTACCTATGGAAGGATTTGACTCACTGATCTTTATAATAAACTCAAAAAAGTAAGTTTGTAATCGTGCAATACTGTCTTTGGTGTGTTTCTTGTTTGCATTCACTGTGAAATTAGTTGTGCTCACTTTTGTTCGAACTCAAAGAAGACAGTGGGTGTACTACTTGGGTTCTATTTCTTTAAAGTGTAATTTGGGAAGGATTCAATTTAAATGTGTTTTCCTATGCCTATCTTGAATAATGTGTTGATTTCTTTTTGCCTGATACTGAGAAATGTAGCTTAATGTTACACGAACTAAGACCTCAGCAATATGGATAAATTCTATTATTTACAAGTACAGTATTTTCCCTGAGACTGTAAGAGTAGATCTGTCAGCACCCACGATGTTATCACCGAGGTACGGCACACAACTTCCACTGCCTTGGTTCCACCCAGTGTGTCAGTCTCAACTGCTTTTGCAGGGTCTCCTTTGTGATTTCTTGGTAAATGGGATTTTCCCTGCTCTTAAGTCCCTGGAGAATAGATGAATGTTTGCTCACTGGCTTTTAAAGCTTGGCCCCAAACTTTTCTCTTTATATATTTTGGGGGAAAAAAATTCAAAGGGCCGGTGTTTCTTTGTTCTCATCCAAGCCCACAATTAGCTGAAGTTCCTTCTGTGTAGCTAGAAGGAGGAGGAAGGGGCGCCCAACAGACCTTTTACTGCCTGTGAGAAAGTGCTCAGGCCGTTCCTTTGTCCTTTTTGTCAGGGAAGGCTGCCTCCCTAATTGTACTGCTGTAGGGGAGCACGCGCCTTTGGGAGCATTATCTGATTCCTACAGGACCTTCAGGAGTGCTTTGTATACTGACCCTTAGCTTGAACACAAATATCTTTTCAGTCCCCTTTCCAGGCTGTTGCCTCAGGCTTAGATACCTGAGAGCTTTAGCTCAGCCGGGGGTGTGGACGCATTTGTACCAACCTCAGCCTTAGGTTTGTTTTTTTTTTTCTCCCCTCGTTGTATTACCTGCAATTCTGCTCCACCTGTGGGGAAGCAGAAGATGGAGGATGCAGAGGGCTAGGAGCTATAGAAGTCAGAGGGGAGAGAGAGCGAGACAAACAGCTGCTCTTGTCAGCATGGGGATAAGCGTAAAGAGATTAATAGTTATTTGCAGAGCAAATGGGGAGGTGGCATTCAGCGGTGGAATGCGAATGCATGAATGCGATGGAATGGGCGTGCGACTGTTAACATTTAGACAGATGCTCTCTGGACTGAATGGAATGGCCCGGTCCCTTTCTCCTCTCCAAAGGAAAGAATTAGTGTGGAATAAAATAATTTCATTATTCTTGAAGTTTAAAGTGGAAAGAAATGTTCAGGTTCTTTTTGCTTTGTTCTTCATGGTTTTCCTTAGCCTGGGGTTCTCGGTTATATTTCACTGGAAGCTTCTTCATTTCCTTTATAAAATATGTTCCTCTTCTTGCATTTGACCTCCTTGCCATCGTCCTTAGCTTAAATTAAAGCAGAAAGAGAGAGACAGAGAGAGAGAACAAAAGAAAGAAAGAAGAAGAGAATGACAAAAAAAGAAAGAAAGAGAAAGAAAGAAAGAAGGCAGGCAGGCAGGAAGGAAGGAAGGAAGGAAGGGGGAAATTTCCATGTTTCAGAAGGTTTCACAAAGGGAAAACAGCCATAAGCTGACTGAACCTTCAGGAAAGGTGTTGTTTGGTCCAGAATTAAGAACTACAGGAGGCTGAGTCAGCTGATTGGGCTGCTGATGTGGTAGCCTGGACAGAGCCCTGGATTTAAAACCAAAGGATTTCATTTCAAAATTTATACTCCACTTCTTAGCTAGTGCTTGGGCAACTTGTTTCCTTTCTCTGGTCATAAGACAGTAAATTTGTTTATCAGGTAAAATGGGAAGAAACCATTTCATTCTTCTCATAAACATTTCACTGAGTACTTATTTTGTGCCAGAACCATTGGCAGAAAAGACATAAAATCATCTGTCAAATGGTGCTGCATGAACTAATGTACTTTTGAATTGCATCAAGCACAGAATTTTATGTACAATGAAATATTTCTTTTATTTATACATGTTCTACTCTCAGAAAGAAATAAACTACTCAAAACAAAATGGCAGAACAATAAAAAAAAAACAGGTTGGATAATAGACTGGCATGTTACCTTTTAAAATATATAATTAAGACTGGGTGTCTTGGCATGGGTGTATTGGCATGTGACTATAGTTCTAACTATTGAAGAGGCTGAGGCAGGAGGATCCCTTGAGCCCAGGAATTCTATACTAGCTTGGACAATACAAGACCCTTCCTCAATCACTCAGTCAAGTCTCTCTGATGCTACTACTCATTCCCCTCCAGGCTTTATGAAACTAATCTCTGAGATGGTGCTATTAGTATTGTGGCACTAATTTTAGAATTTTATGTAAGCTAAGAAGAATCTTGATGATCCTTTGATTTTTACCGTTTATACAACTTGATGCTTAGCCCCGCCCCTTTAAGCTATCAAAGGCTCTTTCTCACCCTGAATACTGTAACAGGGAATAGTTCTGATTTGTATTAATTTCTACTGAGCTACTAAACAGCACTTTTTGTCGTGTTTGTGGGTCAGCCTGTATTCTCCTTTCACCCTTGAGGATTCCACTCAACAAAGCCACCCTAACAGTTAAGGGACCTGCGAAGGGCATCACAAAGCCCTCCTCAGACTTCTCGTGGTGTTTCTGGGTATCAGAAATGGCTGATTTCCCTTTGCATAGGGTGTTTCACACCTGTAGAACGCATGCACCACATGCTGCCATTTTTGAAGCAATGATCTGAGGCTTAAATGGCTAATGTTGGGATTTCCGGGTGTCCTTGCAGCCACAGTATACGAACCTGGGGCTCCTGAACAGCATGGACCAGCAGATTCAAAACGGCTCCTCGTCCACCAGCCCCTACAATACAGACCACGCGCAGAACAGCGTCACTGCGCCCTCGCCCTATGCGCAGCCCAGCTCCACCTTCGACGCCCTGTCGCCGTCGCCTGCGATCCCCTCCAACACCGACTACCCGGGTCCGCACAGCTTCGACGTGTCCTTCCAGCAGTCCAGCACTGCCAAGTCGGCCACCTGGACGGTAAGAGCGAGGGCACGCATGGCCCACGAGGCTCCCTTCCCATCGCGACCTCTTGCATCTCTCCCTTCAGCAGGAGAGATCCTTGACTCAGTGACCGAAATTTTGTTCTTGAATAATTAACACTGAGTCAGAGAGAAAATGCCATTGAATGAGAAAAGTCCTGCTCTGCCTGAGAAACAAATGCCTGCATCCTGGTCAGCTCCCAGCAGTTTCATTCAGTGCATTTCTGCCTGCTTCATGCTGTCCTGAGGTCCTTTGCATGGATTTTTTTTTTTTTTCCAGAAAAAATTAACATTGTGCCAGTAAGAAGTAACATAGCCATTCGATATGTGTTTACAGGCTCCAGGATAGGAAAGATGTATCAATGTCATTACTGTGAAGATGTAAATGTCACATTTAGAAGTGATTTAAAAGTATGAAGTGATCAAAAAGTATGAAGTATGAGAAATAAAATTTCACTTAATAAATGCTAATATGTTTATACCTCTAGATTCTACAACATGAATCATACCTTATGAACATGTGCAAGTTTATTAAATTTAGACACATTTTCACCACTTATGACCCCAATAAAAGCTTTAGAATTACCTATCCGGGTCCTGAGTTACTCAAAAGAGATTTTAATTTAAATTGTTAGGGAAAAGATCTTTCTATATGTAAGTTGAAAAAAAACTATTTCACAGTTATTGTAACATAAATAAAACTCAGATATAAGCAGAAAAACCTACAAAGCTATTAGCTGTTTGATCAAAAAATCTCCAAGACCAAATGGGCATGAATGTTTATCAAATAATTTAATGTCTGCATGGATTGTAGAAATTCTTCCAAATATCATTGTCTTATGGACAATGTAGTTGTAGAATTGTTCTAACAGTTCTTTTCCTCTTTGGTAAAAATAATCTTTTGGAAATCATTTCTATATTTATGTTACATATAATGTCTACTTCACTATAAGTTTTAATCTAGTTGTATGGATTTTCTTAAATAAACTATATTTGTAATAGTTCTTACCTTTCTCTATAACTATACATCTCTTCATTCATTTTGATCTCATGACTTGGTGATGGATAACGTTTATAACTCCCACCATGATAGTTATGAGAAAAACTGAAGAACTTGGAGATATTTAAGAGACTGCCTTAAAGTTACGTAGGCCTTTGTGCAGCTGGAGACAGTCTTGATCCCTCACTTCCCCCACTGGGTTGTATTCTTTCTGTCTATTTGACAATTCACAGCAGAATGCCTCAAAATTGTCTAAAAATTTATTCTATTTTAGTACTTTCCTTTCATGGTTTGAAAATTCCATCATGGCTGATACATACTCAACCATTAAGTATAAGCGTTAACTTCAAATTTAATGTTTCTCCTATGTGTTGCTTATCAGTTGTGAAGTTTTATTCAGTTTCATTTGCACCTATAGTCATGGATATGTAAATAGAGGTGAGTAAATTTAAGAGTGGATAGGCTTTAAGTAGCTGGTTGATTGATCTAACTAATATTTCCTGGAGTTCCACCAGAATAAATGGCGCATATTTGTCTTAGGATTGTCACCACCCATTGAACATTTACTCATCTTTAAGCTTGCTCATTACTGGTTTGGTTTACTAAGTCAGCACTTCGCTCTATTATAAGTAGCCTCCTCAGAGGAAATGACAAGAATATGAGGTACCTAAACGCATAATCACATCCCTTGCGGTATCATTTAAGACCCATGAGCATGCAGCTTGATGTAAATGCAGCATCAGATCAGCCTTTCTCCCTCGACCCTTCTTTTCCTTCTCCTCCTGCAGAGACCTTAGGGTCTGTTTTACAGATCTGGCACAATCCCAAACCACCTTCACTCAGAGCTGTTCTCTGAGGAATAAATTATCTCCTGAAAAGGTTTGGCGATTTCTACCTAAACGGTACGTTAGGAGGAAGAGAAAGAATTGTGGTGTAGCACACTGGTGAAATTTCCTTACCTGTGCCAGAAGTAAAATCAGCATCCTGAAAAAAAATAAATACACAGGTGCTTGAGTGATGGAAGAAAAGTACTGGGTGAGAGCCAAAAAGTTGGATTGTAGTGTTGAATACTCTAGTCTTCCCAGAATTCACTATGTGCCTCAGATGAGGAGGAAGACGGTGAACTACACTGTTTTCTAAAGGGCAGAGCACAGGGTTAATACTAAGTGCAGAATGCTGATAGAAGGTATTAGTTTCTAATCAAGCGCTTTGTGTGTCATTCATGAGTGAGCACTGCTAAGTGGTTTTGTGTCTGTTGGATTTCTCTTCCATTGTCCCTCGTCTATGCTATAAATTAGAAGCAACAAGGACCCTATTAATACATTACATGGCATCTACGTTTTTACTTAATGTCTTTCTTGTTCACAAGCAGACTGATTCCAGGCCCAATGGAGTTCTTCTAAACTAGGGCACTTGAACCCTTATCAGAGTAGCTCTTAAGATTATCTAAAATGACATTTTATTCTTAGTAGCAGACACTTGTATCTTATACACAGCAGCATCTAATTCTTTAAGCCAATTTATATAACCTCACATTTATACATAAGCTTCACATTTTAAAAAATATTTTCTACTCTATTTATCTTAGGTGAGGGTAAATAGCAGCTCTGTTATTTGCTGTTTTATAAATAAAGAAAGTTTAAATAAAAGTTGCAAGGCTAATCACTGGCCAAGGAGGAAGAGGCCCAAGGCTTCTCATTCCAGTTCACATTCTCCACCCTTCTGTCTAGACTGTCTTTTTTTTTTTTTTCCTGATTGATGGATGGTAGGGGCATCCCAGTGTAGCAGGCTCTGTGTATTATGGAGTTGTTCTCTCAAGCTCCAACTGATAGAGGGTATTTTTTTGTGCCATATTACACAACACCTATTACTTAGGCATCTGTGCTGAAAACAGTGTTTATTTTTTTAAATAAAGTGCTATATTTTAGAACTGCCCTCAAACTAGAAGCAACAGAAGCAGCTGTCATTAGGGGGAGGCCATGCATATTGCAAAGTCTTCTGGTAATTCTTTAATAAAAGTTGTCTTAGTACCATTTTATCACTTGTCAACCTTTCCTGTCGAGTTTTCTCTTTGCATTCGTCTAGTTTTACTCTCAGAATTACTGTCAGAATGTAACTAACATGTTTAAAGGGTATACACGTTTTCCTATTGCTTTTTCTACGTTTTAAATAGTGAATGTCATTATGGTTTCAGTTCTATAAAAATACCATATTTATTTTAAACTTCTTTCAACAAAATAAAGTGAAGGGTGATGACATTTTTCTATATTCTCCATTTATGCACACCTCGCTCCAAACCAGTACTTAAGATATGGTTCCAGACTCCCTTATTTCCACAATATAATTGGCCTTAGTTATAGAGGCCATAATTTAATACGGGTACTGCTGGTCTAGAATTTTAGCTGTAAGTCATCAGCCTCAGGACAGTTGAAAGAACGGTAGTTTAGAGACGGCAGGAAACGAGCATAGACTTCACTTCGGAAATTTTTGAACAGCATATGGACTTTTGCCCCAGATTTAGTCTCTCAGACCTTCCTTTCCTCACCTGTAAATGACGATGTGAATACTTTGCTTATCATTTGGGTTATGTTCAAGTAAATGTACCTCTCAGCACCCGGGACATATAGCACATAAGTGTGCATTGGGTGCGCATCTGAATCCCTTTGTTTCATGAGTTTATTACAGTTTCACGGAGCGTTCAGTTTCACAAATGGTAATAATTTGAGGGAATGTAAAGTAAAATGTCTGCTACTTTTTTTTTCCTTAACGATTTCAGGCTCTTAACATGCATACTCCAGCCCCAAGGGACTACTGTGTTATCCCCTTTCTACATGTATGCAGTAGACGCCATAGGATAACAGGCTTTCCTGAATGTGGACCCATAGCTGGCTGCGCTACCTTCTAAGCCTGTCCAAGACATGCAGGTGCTCCTTCTAGCAAAGGGGAGGGTCCTTTCAGTAGCTCAAGACCTGGCAACTTTAGACATTTCTTCTTCACTTTTAATTCGGCCCTTCTTTCATGGGGATGCCTTTCTGTATGCTTTGGGTTAAATAAAAGATGGAAAACAGAAAAGTCTGCATAGTAATTCACAGGAACAAACTAGTAGAAGCAACCTAACCATACTGGAGGGGAACAAGTTCAATAAATTGCAATACACCCATACATAAAATGCTCTAGGGCCAATAGACATAACCACACGCGCTGGTATGGAATGCTTTGGGAGGCACCTGGGAGGAAAGAGGTACTGCCTGAGAATGGAGAAGACTGGTAAGAAAGCCCACCTCTGAGGTAATGTCTTCCTTTTTCTGGACTCTAGTGCTCAGGCCTGTTTTGACGTCAGTTACCTTTATTAGCTTGACAACTGTTTTTGGCCTTTTGGGTTTTCTGGTTCTTTGTTTTGTCACCCATGGTACATAGTAATCCCTGGGTATACACACTATGAAAATCCTCAGGTAAATTTATTTATTATTAATATTTAGCTTTACTTGTGCTTACACAACGACCCTGCTCATGAGTGGAAGGTTACATTTTGCTATTGCGTCCTTCTCTGTGAGACTCTGTGGTCTTACAAGGCAGAGACCCTAACCTAGGGCCCAGTACAACATTAGGCAAACAGCAGGCCCTTCATACAGACCAAGGCAGTTTTTGTTTTTTTTTTTCTCCTCACAGTTCAAAGAAGTCATGGTAGCTTTCAGCAACATGCCTCAGTTCTGACCCTGAGTGTTAATTGTCCATAGCATTGGTCCCTTCTGCCTCCACCCATGATTTAGAGAAAGCATTCTTCCTTTGCCTTTCTCAGCCCTGCCAGCCTCGTGTCATGTTCAGAGCTTTGAAGAATCTGACTTGAGCAAGTGGAGAGATTAGGGAGGTGTCATTTGGAAGAGGAACAGCCAGTTCTCGGGAGACTTCCATTGATCCCAGCATTTCGGGCTGGCTGCAGGTCTTGCAAGCTGGCTGGTTTTGGCTCTGCAGGCAGGCGGGCTGAGATTTGTGTCTGT